CTACACACACAGAGACACACATAGGTACACACGCATGCACATACCCCACAGGCATGCCTCACACTCACCTAATCAGGCTGGGATGACACAACTAGTGGAGGTTAGTAGAGGAGGAAGAGGAGCTGCAGTCCACACTCAGATCATCTTTTCTGTGCTCAGAACCACTTCTCTTCAAATTGCTGAGTTTTTAACTTTAATTTATTGCAGTGTGTGTGTGTGTGTGTGTGTGTGTGTGTGTGTGTGTGCGCGCGCGCGCTCGAGTGCATGCAGAGGTCAGAGGACAACTGTGGGGAGAAGGTCCTCTCCTTCCACTATGTGGGTTCCAAGGATTGAACTTGGGTTGTCAGGCTGGGCCACAGGCACCTTTACCCGATGAGCCATCTCACCAGCTCCTACTTGCTGTTTTGACAGCTTCAAAACTATGAGACTAAAGCCAGGTGGGGTGGCGCACGCCTTTAGTTCCAGCACTTGGAAGGCAGAGGCAGGCGGATCTCTGTGAGTTCAAGACCAACCGGGTCTACATAGTGAGTTCCAGGCCAGCTGGGGCTACAGGGAGACCCTGTCTCTAAAAGACAAAAAAATATGCGACTATGTGACTCCTCACCCCCCACCCACCACCCACCACTCCCCTTCCCTTGCAGGAACCATGTCTTAGCACCCTTTTCCGAGTCTACCAACCCCAACTGCAGCCTTGGGAAAGATCCTTGGGCCGTGCTGTCTCAAGCCCTCGCACATATGGCCCTGGTCCACAGCAGGGAGACTGAGTGGAGTCCGCTCTGGTGTCTAGTTCTTTGCTCCAGCAGTCAAAGGAGATGTGAAACTCCATGAGATGCAGCAGGAAATGGTAGGAGAAGATCTCACTTCTGCTTCCATGTGACCTCAGAGGGAGATTTTTAGAATCAGGCAGAAGACCCAGAAACCTGTGCTCAGCAAACCGTTTCCTTCTTTCCTCTCATCCTCACCATCTCTGTTGTCACAGATGCACCTGTCTTCCCATCTCCAGCCAGTTCGAGCATCTTGGCAGTCCTGTCCACTGTTGCTTCCTTAACCATTATCTGTGCAGCGCTGGGACCCGCAGCCGGGTTCCCACAGGGTGTTCTTTTATAGCCACTATACAAGACCCACGCAGTGAGTTCTCACCTCTCTCCCTGCCTCGGTCCCTAGTGTGGCCACCACATGCCTATGGTGGGCTACCACTGGTGCTTATGCATGATGCACAGCAGGGAGTTCCCAAAACTGGGAGAAATGGGCTTTAGCCCCCACATCACTTCACTTGATGCCAGGTGGGGAGTGGAAGAGGACCTGCTGTTAAAGCTGATTAGCAAGCCAGGCGTGGTGGCACACGCCTTTAATCCCAGCACTTGGGAGGCAGAGGCAGGCAGATCTCTGTGAATTCGAGGCCAGCCTGGTCTACATAGTGAGTTCCAGGACAGCTGGGGCTACAGGGAGACCCTGTCTCAAAAGAAGACGCAAAAAAAAAAGCTGGTTAGCAATAAATCCAGAGGGCTTAAAGGGGAAAGAGGGGTCACCACAGGTGTGGGGGGTAGGGTGTCCACTCCAGGGAGGGGCCTGGAGGGAAGCCTCAACTAGCAGGTTGGATCCACGTGGGAGAAGAGGAAGGCACTGGCTTCACAGTCCTGGCGCACAGCCCAGCTCCCCAAGCCTGGCAACGCTGTGTGATGCTGTTGGGGGCCTTCGAGGAGCCGGGGCTGCTTGAAGCAGAAACAAGCTACAATCCTGATACCATCCCTGGAGTTGCACGTTGAAGGCAGTCACCATGTGGCCTTGTGTTTTTCCTGGGAGTACGGTCATAAAAGTACAAATTTCTTCTAGAAACTTCCTAAATTCGTTCCCAGCTTCCTTTTCTAGATGGTTTTCACTCAAGCCTCCATTTTATAAGAGAAAAAAATCACCTGGCCACTCTGTCTCTTGCAACCCAACAGGAGACCAGACCACAGGGCTCTGACAGCCAAAACTGAATCATTATATTCAGGGAATAAATTGTATGCAAATCTCACTGATGGGCAGTCAACTGGAAGAGGACTATTTTCTTTTGTTTTTCCCCCTCTTTCTTTTTGAGACAGGTTTTACTATGTAGTTCATACTGGTCTTGAATTTATGGTGATCCTCCTGCCTCAGTCTCTCCAGTGCTAGGACTGCAGGCATACACCACCATGCCCAGGAGAAGGCATTTTCAATATCTATTCTGGCCTGAGATTACTGCATAGAACGAGCATGTCCCCAAAAGCCACAAGAAAAAGAGAGTATAGTTTAAAATTGACAAAATGAGCCAAGCATGGTGGTGCACGCCTTTGATCCTAGTACTTCAGAGGCAGAGGCAGGTGGATCTCTCTGAGATCAAGGACAGCCTGGTCTACATAGCAAGTTCCAGGCCAGCTGGGGCTCCAGGGAGACCCCGTCTCAATAAACAAACAAAAAAGAAAGAAAGATGGATGGGAGTTGGAGGGTCAGGGCAGATTCCTACAAAGGCTGAGAGTGGGTTGGACCTGGAGCTAGATGGGAACAAGCTGAGGAGAGTAAAGTGACCTTCAGGCGACAGGGAAGGGCCTGGCCAGGTGCTGTGAAACGAAGCTGGGCATCACAGCACCATCGAGGAGGAACAAGGAAAGAGATGCACTCAAGAGTGTGACTCCTGGGGCCGGAGAGATGCTCAGCAGTTAAGAGCACTGTCTGCTCTTGCAGAGGACCCGGGTTCCCTTCCCAGCACCTACATGGTGGCTGACAACCCTCTGTAACTCCAATTCCAGGGGAATCTGATGCCTCTTCTGACTTCTGAGGACATTGCATGACTTGGGTGCACTTATACACATGCAGGCAATGCATTCATACACATGAAATAATTTTTAAAGTGGCATTCCTGCCAGGTGTGGTGGTGTATGCCTCAATCCTAGCACTTGGGAGGCAGAGGCAGGCAGAGCTCTGTGAGTTCGAGGTCAGCCTGGTCTATGTAGTAAGTTCCAGGCCAGCAGGGGCAGGGAGAGACCCTGTCTCAAAAAGACGAAAAAGGGGGGGGGATTCCTGATGAATAACATTTCTGCATTAGAAGAAGGTACCAGAACCAACATGGTAGTGGACATTTGTAATCCCATCACTTAGAAGGTAAAGCAGGGGGTTCAGGAATTCAAAGTCATCCTCAGCTACATAAGGAGTTTGAGGCCAGCCTGGTCTACATGAAACTTTATCTAAAAATGCAAAGGAAAGGTAAACAGGTGGTAGTGGTTGTTACTAAGCCTGACGACCTGAGTTAAATTCCCAGAATCTATATGGTAGAATTGTTGACCTCCACATGTGCTCTGTAGCACACGCACACC